AATTTATAACGCTAAACTGAAGAATAGGCTGCATAATATTGCTACTTACGCTTGTCAGTAAAATTGTTGAGAAAACGATCACTGGTTGTGAATAAACGATTGGCCGTCGTACTGTCGCAGGCCGTCGGACGGCGACGCGCGTCGTTACTTCGCGTACGGTACCTGTCAGAGAAGTACAATAATACGCGTTTTTATATGTATGTAAAAATCATGTTAACGAAGATATTAATGTGAAGCAAATGACGTTAAAACGTTCGATTGTTTTTTTTCACTTAAAAATCAATTTCAGAATTTTACCCGATTATCTAAGGGGGTGAAAAGGAGTAAAAGTATATTTACAAAATCCTCAATATTTTTTAAGTTCTATGACTTAGTGACTTGACTTTTGTTCATGAAATATTTTTAATTCATACGTTTTGAATTCTGTATACGATAATTAATGCGGGCGAAGTCGCGACGGGGAGTGCCAGTCACTGATAATTCCACTGGAAAATGTTCAGCGCCACTCGGAAATGTTTAAAAAATGATCTACTATTAATTTTTTCCGGTCGTTGAACAGTCACGAAGACATTCGCACGACACGATTTGAATTATGACGCGTCATCAGGGAGTAACGATGTTTCCCGACGTACCGTGCCATGCGAACAAATACCGAGTTTATCTTTGGAAGCCGAGTGTTTCAAAGCGGTTCACACGTAGCTGCATTTGGTGAACGATAAACCGTGCTTTATTGCAGTCTCGCTTAAGGGATTTGTACGACGTGCAAACGACGAAGGTACAGATACGCGGACTCGAGAAGGTAAACCGACCGGGTCGGGGTCTCGCTAATCCAATAGCGGTTCTCTTAACTAACCCCTTCCAAGTGGCGTGACACGGGAGCACGGCCGACCGGAATCGAGTTAATGTAATTGAGAATTTTAGCGCTTTTTGCTCTCCTCTCGTTCTCCCGTTTCCCTCTTTTACTTGATCGTTTTCTCTCCAGGCTGTAGCAACCGTTCCGTGTCCGAAAGGAAAACTGAAAACTTATCGCGGTTTAATACGATAATAATGAATCGTCGCTGCCATGATTTCCTGAAAACATCTGTGAATATTCGTGATACATGTGCCCCAATTTCGAAACGATTACTATCAATATATAAACGTCTATGGATCCGTATATGTTTAAAAATGATTCCTATAAGCTTACGAATATCCAAGCGATATGCTTGAGGTGGTTCTATTAAGATGCAAGACACTTCAGATCCTAATCAAATCCTATTATGCTATTTTCCAGATCGTAATGAACATGTGTCGGTACTGTTAAATATTCATGTTATCAGATAAAATTTCTAAAACAAAGAAGTTCAATTTGTACTTTAACACTAAAATCTATGGGAGTTATGCACTTGTCAATGAAAACTATTAAAATTATGCTTAGTCTCTCCAGGTCAAAACAAACAACTAGGTATTGAAAATTCCGATTTCATACTTTCTCATGAATGCAAAAAGAAGTTTTTTTCCATTTCAAAATGCAGAAACTCATGTCTTCATAACCATTACAATTTATTACCTAAATGTGACAACGTTACGTTGTTTGGTCAGTGTTATGTCTCAAAATCAAATACTAACGTGAATCATATGTATGTTCTACATATTGTAATTTCCTACTACTTTAATTTATCTAGAAAATCGTAATTTAATTTTATAATCTATAGTATTAAGTATAGTATTTAAACTAATATTTTAGAAATTCTTAGTATAGACATTCACTTTGGAATTTTAATAGAACCGACTTAATACGATACTAATAAATCGTTACTATTATATCTTAACAATATCTGTGAATATTCATATAAATATGAACGTGTATATATTTGCCTCAATTGTTAAATGATTATAAATATAAAAACGGATATGGATTTGTATAACCAACTGTAAATGTTCAGAAATGATCCTCACAACTTTACGAACGTTCAAAGGATATGCTCTGAATTTCTGTTAGGTATTAATCTACTTGGATCAGCATGTTTGCCTTCCGATATACGTATATGTATGTATGTACGTTTGCGAGGATCGTCGATTACCATGCAAACGCTCGTTTGCCAAGCAAGAACGACAGATGAATAACTCGTTGAATGACGAATGAGCTAAATGCACGCCGTGATTTTACTCGCTATGTTTCTATTGCTTTCAGCGTTAATTCGATGTGATCGCAGTTTAATGCTCATATCGTGTTAATATAATTTCGTTCGTCAAATAAACTTGTTACGAATTAATAACTGTCAGTCGCGAGA